GCTGCATCCCATAGCCTCATCCCATCCCCTCTCCCTCGCTCCCTCCCTCCCCAGGGAGCAGTGCACCCGGCTCTGCAGCTGGACAGAGCTGGGGTGGAAGCCTGGCTTCCCCAGACCCCACTCTTTAACCTTGAGCGGCCACTCACCTTGGTAGACTTATTCCTACTTCAGCTCTTTGCCATGGGCTACAGACACTCCCAGAGGAAGGCTGACTGACAGCCTGGCAAACTCCCACTTGCCTCCCCGGGTTGCTGCAAGGAAGCGAGGTGTTGCATATGAGGTGCTTTGCTTGCTGACAGCCCCTGGGAAGCATTTGTCACACGTCAGCTGCTGTGGTGGTGACACACAGCATCCTCCACCATCTGTGGAGTCACCACCTCTGCCTTGGCCTTTATATCTACCTCACTGTGAAGTTCTGTTCTCCCTCATAGCCTCTGGGCAGGTGACAACTCTCCTATCACACTGTTCTTAGGTTCAGAGCCTATCACCATCTCTCTCAGTAGGAAAACCCAACCAACGCCTTGAGTGGCAGCAGGGGAGGACTCACTTTCTATGGCAGTCCTTAGGTTGCCAATGCTGCTCGCACAAATGAAATCATTCCCCTATTTCCCTTCAGTGCTCTGAACCATTCTGTGATTCTCAGAAAGCTTATCCCAAGCTTGGACGCTGAGTCTGCTGGCCACCTCCAGTTCTGCACCCTGGGCACTTGTATTTGGCTAACGGCAGTTCTTTAAAGGACATCGTCAGCATACCTCAGTGCTCCCAAGCAATAAAATGCCTGCAAACTTGCCCTTTTCCTGCAATCCAAAAAGGAAGTCAACTGCACCTTCTAAATTGTCCTTGCCAACATCATTGGGTCAGACTGTCACCATTTCCAAAGCTAGCCATTCCCTGAGAGTGTTCAAAACCTTGGAAGGTCTTTGGAGTCTCTACAGCTTCAATCCTCTTCCATGAATTTTCTTATTTGACAATTCTGGTTGAAAATCTTCAGGCATCGTGGAATGGCATGGTTATCAATCTGGTAATAAGTCAAATCAGTATTATCTAGAAGCAAGGTAGTTCCTGTATTGATAAGGAATTAGAGTCTGCCAGGCAGAAATGCAGTATCTTTTCCTCTGATCTCAAGATTTTTCTAGAAAACATAGCAAAAGTGAATTAAACACATATTTCCTTAGTTTTCCTGTTGTCTTGTGGAATTTCAGAAGCAGGAGCCCGAGTCCCATCCCCAGTACTGCATGCCATGGCGACCACTGAAACCAGACCTAGTAGCACAAGCCTGTAATCTCAGCGCTGGGGAGGCTGACACCGAAGGATCTCTACAAGTCCAAGCTGCATAGCAAGAACCTGTACCAAATAAATGAATAAATAAAAGATTTTTTATTTTTTTTAAATAAGAATAAAAATAAGGAGAGTTTCTCCACTGCTGGTGGGAGTGTAGACCAGTTCAACCACCATGGAAATCAGTGTGGAGATTCCCAGAAAGCTAGGATTAGAGGTCCCACTCAGCCCAGTTATTCCCAGAACTAAAATCATCATATCACAGCTATATATGTGCACCCATGTTTATAGCAACGCGATTTGTCATAGCTAAATCTTAGAAATAATCCAAATGCCCATCAATTGAACAGATAAAAAGATGGAGTATTTTTACACCAGGAAGTATTACTCAGCTATTAAAAAAAATAAACTCAAGGCTTTTTTAGGCAAATGGATACAACTAGAGGTCGTTACTATAGGTGAAATAAATCAGACCCACAAGTATAAGCATCATATTGTCTCCTTCATGTAAGAACCTGAATAAAATCTGAAAGGCACAATAGATATTGTGAAAGAGAGAATCTGTTCATGCAGAAGGAACAAATGGGATATGGGATGAAGGAAAGGACAAAAGAAAGAAGGAAAAAGATACATAGATATAGATATAAATGATAGCTTGGATAATTGTACTGCTGATTTCTTTTGGTTTTGCTTTTTAATTTTTTATTCATTTAATGAGAAAAAAGATAAAATTGCAATGAAACAGTTTCAAAACAGGTTAATAGGACTGTTACAATAATTACTACATTGCATATTGTTGTCTTCATAGTAGTTATTCAGAGGACAAGATGCAGACATAATATCTTGTCTGAACAACATTAATACAAACCTTTCTTCTCATTGAACTAAGAAAGTAGCCATATATCTATCCTATCTTGTATATACATATTTTTTTACTACAAAATGGTCCTTTATTTATATCCCTCTTTTTTGTTTTGTACCGTCAGAGATGGGTGTTCTGTTGCTGTTAGAGAAGCTGTACTTGGAGAAGTCTTTGAAGGACTTTTTCATACTTGATGCCAGTCCAAATGTTGTAGGTACTTGAATTCAGCAAAATAACCCCATATAGTCCAATATCCATAATAGT